GGGTCGCTCAACTGCCACCAGGGCCTGCGACAGCGCACGGGACAGTTGCCGGCGAAGATCATCGTCCTCAGGTACTTGTTGGCGTAACGCCGCGAGACTGGCGAGGAGAGCCTGTGTTTCGGTGGCAGACACGGCGGGATCCTCAGGCACCTGTTGGCTTACCGCCGTGAGGCGGGTCAGGAGCGTCTGTGTTTCGGTCGTAGCCATGGTTTGCATTGTTGCTAGGGATGAATGTGCCATGTGGTGCAATCTCTGTTGCCTTAATATACGCCAGGGGGGCTATGTGCACACATGACCGAGTTGACATGTGTGAGCAGTGCCATGAATCCCTGCCCTCAAACCACACACCTATATCAATCCTTCGTGAAGTGTGATCTCGACTGGGCGTATCGTCATCGCCGCATGTATACGACAGGCTGGTGAGACCCGAGGTCTTGCCGTATTCTCCGCAAGTTTCCTGCAGCCTGTTCTTCGGCCGTTATTAGCGTCGCGTGGCATAGGAGCTAGCAGCTAGCTAGTCCAATGCACCGAGCACGAAGATAACATGACAGCCCATCAGCATGGATGCTCGAGTGGTAGTGCATGGGGCCATTCGCTCAGACCAGCTGGCACCCATTTCTGGCCCCAGAAAACGGCCGAAGATAAGTCCTTCTATCAGACGGCGTTGGTCAAGATATCACAAACCCCAAGTCTTACTGTGTCAATCTATTATCCTTTCTCTGGTCTACAAAGTCTCGTAATCCCGTCTCAAGCAAGGAACAAACAGGAATCACAAACAAATGGCTATTCATAGTACTCGAACCATAATCATACAGCATCTACTCCCGGCCCTCCCGGTTCAACTTCCACGTCCCGCGAGTCATGGGAAACTGGCCCCTCGCGAATTTCCGCCACGCCTCGCGCGCCGCCTCGAACGCATCGTAGCCAAACATCCACCGCGTGAGGGCGGGATCCGCCAGGACGTTCGGATATCCGTCGTAGGGGTCGTGTTCGTGCTCCCGCAGCTGGCGGTCCCGCTCGCGCTGCTGGGGCCCATCCGGCAGGGACCAGATGTCGCGCGCCATGCCGACGCGGCGGCGCATCTCCCGCGCCCGGGGCTGGCGGATGGCCTCGAAGATGGTCAGGAGATCGGGGATCTGGGCTTTGTCTTGCATCGCGCCGAAGAGGACGCTCAGCGCGGCGGCGTCCTCGAAGGCCAGCGCTGCGCCTTGGGCGCTGCGTGAGATTTGTGGTTAGTCTCCGGGGTTCATTGGCTTGCAGACTCTCAGAGAAGATGAATGGAGTGGTAAACTCACAGATACGGTAAGACTGCGTGCGCAGCGTCCCCCAGCAAGGCGATGTTGCCCGTCTCGCCCGTCCACTGGGACGGCATGTCGGTGTGCAGCAGGGTCCAACGCGCGCAGGTGGTTGTCAGGTCCAACAGACGATGGAACAAGGGATCCCAGCCGGCGAACTCGGCGGCCACCGCCTCCTTGGCGATGGGCTGCGGGGCGAACTGCACAGTGGCATCCGGGGGATGGACGTGGGTGAGGACGATGTTGAGCAGGCGGCCGCGCTTGAGCGGGTAGGTGAGGGCGTTGCCGCGGGGGCCAACCCACCAGTTGATGCCGCGGGTGAGCGCGCGCAGCTGCTCGTCGGCCTCCAGAGCCGCCAGGGGCACGGTGGCGCGGAAGACGTGGTCGCCGCTGTCGCGCCAGGGGAACTCGTGGCCCAGCAGCGAGGTGCGCACGCGCGACCGCTCCCCGTCCGCCCCGAGCACCAGGTCCGCCGCCCGCTCGGCCCCGCCGGCGCCGTTGGCCAGCTGCACAAAGGCCTGCTCCGGCGTGCCGCGCACCCCCGTCACCTCCGTCCCCAGCTCGATCACCGCCCCCTCCCGCTGCGCCGCCTCCGCCAGCAGGTGGTGCAGGTCCACCCGGTGCACCACGTAGTAGGGGATCCCGTACGCCTCCACCATGCTCTTCCGGCCCAGCGGCATCGTCGACAGCACCTCCCCGTCGCCCCACGACCGCATCTGGTTCTCCTGCGGACAGATGCAGATCTTCTCCAGCGCATCTTGAAGACCCCATTCGCGGAAGACCCGCCCTGAGTTCGGAGGGACCTTGATCCCCGCTCCTATCTGCATGCATGCAACTATTAGATAGACACTACTTGTGAGGCTGGATGGGGTGGGGCGGGGGAGAAAGAGCATACCTCTCCTAGAGCCGGCGCCTTCTCCAGCACGGTGACCTGATGGCCGGCCCGGCGCAGCCCAATGGCCGTAGCGAGTCCGCCCAGACCGGCGCCGACGATGATTACGGAGATACTGGGGGGCATGATGATGACGGTGAGAGGTGGAAGATAGAAGATCTGTCTGGTTTTCGGGTCAGGAGGCTGCGCTCTCGCTCTATATAGAAGTATGTAATGTACGGAATGGATGGCGTTGTGTCTTTACGAGGCGCAACGGTTCTACTAGTGGGTCCACCTCGAATTCGTTTGAGGAGGCTTACGGTGGTTGTTATCTAGAGCACGGGGGCCAAAACTACTACTCTGTGTTTCTTGGGCTCGTATGACTTTATAGTGTGAAGTCAGCGGGACTGGACGGTATTTCTGCGGCCCAGCTCGGGCTTACTACTCTCTGGGACTGGGACCGCCCTGGGGGTGGCTCTCCGCTTATCCCCGGATTGTACTGTACGTAGTGGTGGAGCGCCATGCGAGTGTGAGCAGATGTTTTCGTCAGACAAGAATACAACAGTTCAGTCCTATGTCACTTCGTTTATCTTGAAGCGGGGGAGAGTAGGTGGAGGCAACAGGCCCCATTATGGGCTAGTTCATCACCATGCTACTCGAGTAGCGTTATACCAACTGTACGTTACCGTCCATGACTTGTCTAGGTTGTTTCCACGCACAGCGATGCTTCTTCCACTGCAATGTACTGTGCCTGAATCGACTGCCCCTCGGTGTTTTCCAGAGTGGGTTAACTTCGCGGGCGCACGTTCAATATTCTCGTTTCTTGGAGCAGGTGTTTTCGGATGCTCCCTTATGCCTTTGTCTTCGATTCTGCATTAGTACAGATTCGTGCTGGGTTATCCCCTATCCCCGACATGTAAGGATAAAGCAGTCTGTTTTGGTGTACCTATCTGCCTTTGGGCGGAAGTCGACCTGCAACTGACAGCGATCGTGGATACATTGGTAGCTGTACTTTCGACGGTACACACTCTCTCTTTGGGACGATTCCAATCTTGCCTACCTTATCTATTCATGCCCTTCTGCTGGAGGACGGTCTCTGGCTACCCTTGGGGTTGTATAGCACGGAGTCTTCTTCAGGCTGCCAACATACTGCCAAGACTAGGAGTTCTGGGTGATTGCTATGGTCAACGCTGCTTCACATTCACAATACTTCGATCATATACAATTCGCTTCTCAAGAGAAAGTCCACACGCTCCAATTGCCGAATCACATGACCATATTTTTACTGAACGGTTAGTCAGCTGTTGCAACTTGGCGGCGGTGATCCATGACGTCACTATGGGCTGGTGTGCGGAACAAATGCCGAACTCCCGCTGCCAGCGACAATATGTGCATTTGGCACAATCGATGTACATGTTGTGTTGTCTTCGGCGCAAACAGTCGCACAGGCTGTCAGATGTTCCCACAGCCATTGCCCGAGTGGAATTGATGAGATTAAGTCTGGGCCGGCGGTGAGACCCACCATCAGAGCATCATTTTGGTTACTCGGTTTTATAGGCATTTCAGAAGAGCAAGCATGGAAGCACATTGAGCGCGGCTCATGGCTCGGCACGAGTCAAAACCCACTGCCGGCCGACCAGCGGAATACACAAGACCTCAAACCTCAGATCACAGAGGCACCCGTGCTTCGACTTGCGCTTATAAATCCTGATCAAGGAAATGAGCCGAAGCAAGGTTGAGGGCAGCCCCCCCACTGGTGCAAGTGAAACAAACCCGTCGCACACACAACAGATAACTCACCGCAGATGGAACCTATAAAGTCTTTTGACTCACTCCACTCTCTCCAGCAGCATTAACGGTCCCGAATTGCAGCAGCCATCAAAATGCCTTACATTGGTCAATGCAATTGTGCGAGCGTGCGCATCACCTTACCCCAACGGCCTGCCAACTCGGTGATATGCCATTGGTAGGTAGCTGTCTATCTAGAGCTCCCCACCGCTGGGATCATTTGTATGTGTATCGCTGACGCGCGCCGGATAGCACGAACTGTAAAAAAGCCGGGGGCGGACGTGAGTTTCTCCCAAAAGCTTAGCTGCCTTGGCGTTTTCGTTCTCTTGCTGCGTGTCCGGTGCTAACTCGGTGCCAACTGCTTCAAGTCTTCTCGGTCAATTACCTCGTTGATGGAAATGACATGACCGTGGAGGATCCCAATGGGGTGAAGAAGGTTTATCAGGACCCGAACACTCGGTCTGGGAATCAGATCTCGGTATGTTGTCGTCACCTGTTCTTTTGTGCGCGTAGGAGAGAGAGGCTGATATGGCTGATGCTGCTGCTGATGCTGATGCGGGGATTGCAGCGTCACTTCTGCTCAAGCTGTGGAAGGTAAGTCGGCCCTTGCGACAGTCAACAAAAACGAGCGATGCTCATCTAAGACAGTCCGTTGTATACGCTCACGCCCGGAAGGCCCGGGAAAGCATTCTTAAAGGCGCCGCTGTTCGAGAGCATTGCTCCTCCGAGTATGGCGGTGTTTGAGGAGAAGCAGGAGGCGTGGGCTAAGGTTCATCTGTGATGATGGTGTGGATGTTGATTGTAGAGGAGTAATTGGGTGCGCAGGTGTAGGGAACCAGAATTGAACCCAGATCTACCGTCTAGGTACTAAGTTAGGTGTTTTGACTGTACGTACCATGGATGAGCGATGGACGATAAGAGGGGAAAATCCCAGATAAGAAACCCGGCCTTTGCCAAAACGCGGGGGATCGGAGGGAAGGCCAGGGTGGGTGACACATCATCCATCAATCATCATCGTCCTTCCCACCGCATTCGCCGACTCCCCCCGACCGACCGGGGAAGAGTTTCGTCGTGGCCAGATCATGCAGAACCTTTCTCGCCCACACAACCCTTGCTGAATTCTAGGAAATGTCGTACAGATCCCTTTAGACTTCGTTCCCAATGGCTGAAGTACGCGAACATCATGCCGAAGACGACCGTTTCAACACAGTGGGAGGTCGGGACGAAAATCCCAATCCCCCAACTGAAACAGCGGTCAACACCGCCGAACACCGTCGCGAGAGCCATAGCGACGACGACAGCGACCGCGATGCATTCGAACTGCGCAACGTTTCGACGCAAGACGTAGACGAGGCCGGCTTTTCCACCGATTCGATCTCCTCCGGCGAATACCGCGTCAGGACGCTCCGAACGGTCTCCCAGGCCACCACTCAGACTCAGCGCAGTCGGGAGTCACGCAAGGGGGCCTGGGGGCGTCTCGAACGCTTCTGGACGCGAAACGTGGTGCTGACCGTGCCACAACGGAGTAATCGGGACCATTTCGGTGAGACGCACTCTTCCTCATTCTTTTCGGTATAGTTGTCTGGGATGATTGCATTTATATGGAGTACCTACTCGTATTCAATGATCGCCGCGCTAAAATGACGGAATCCCACATGGCGATTGCACCACCTCAACCCACGCTCCAGCGAATCGCCCACCACCATCGGTCGATTGTTTAAGTAAACAATATCTCATATGCACACAAAACTAACCTGGAGTTCTATACCAGCATTGGAACGAACTTTCTTGGCATACATCCGCACCTCCGTCATGGTCGCCATGCAGGGCGTGCTGATCGCGCAATTGTTCCGCCTCCAGCACATGGCCTCCCCAGATCTGGCGCTGGGGTTCTACGAGGTGGGCGTGCCGCTCTCCGTGACCTGCTACGGGGCGGCCATTATCATCGCCTCGCTGGGCGCGTACCGCTTCTGGAAGCAGCAGAATATGGTGGCCTTGGGCACGGTTTACGCGGGGGGCTGGGAGCTGAATCTGATCGGGATACTGATCGGCTTGGTGAGCCTTCCTCAATGTTCGGCAGATTGCGGTTCTGATATGGCCTTGTGAAATTTAGATCATCCTGACGACTTTTATTGTATCGATCGTTATTACGGTGCAGCTGGACAACCTCAATGACTGATGTTTGACGTTGTCTCTGCTGGCAGGTCGCTTTCATGATCACAAGCGTCTGCGCCATATTCACGACTTTCTGTTCTATAGCCACAATAAAGGTGTTTGTTATTGTTGATAATTTGGGCACAAGACGTCGGATCCTAGCAAAGAATACGGATGCTCGGATTGATCAATATACCTGGTTTCCGGATTGTGTAAGATCTTTTGAAGAGTCGTGGCTCATATGCGCTTATTGCCACTCGACAAGATGAAGAGTGAAAGACTTTGAGCTGAGAATCTTTCTCTGATGACCCCGTATCGTATACTCCCTTCCTTTTGACGAGACAGAGCCGATGGCTGTAACGGATTTGCGAATCCACAGCTTTGGATCTCCCATCTCGGGCCGCGAATCTCGATTTTGCCAGTTACTTCCACTTACTTAGTACACTTACTACGAAGAACTGCCGCTCAACACTGTAGTTATGGGTCAAGGCATGGAGAAAAGCACTGTGAAGAGGACACAACCCACGGGCTTCGTGGCATGCTCGGCGAGCAGAGCTTTGGGTGACTGACTAAGCGAATCTGACCCGATGGGGATTAGTGTGCGTGGAGATACGATACCGAGCATCTTCTGTTCGCCTTTTCAGGAACAACTTGGAACAAACAATATACCATTGCAGCAACCGCATCAAGAGCATCTTATCTTCTATATACCTTGCATCTGTTCAACCACACCCATATACTCTAAACACCTTACCAGCATGACCTCTTAACTTGTTTGAGTACAAGAGAAATGCCAATTGCGGCGCTTCCTCCAACAACCGCACGGGCGATCGGCTCGGCGTCCGTCATCTCCGACGCCTGCTCAATTGTTAAGGAGCTGTTGGACAACGCCCTCGACGCCTCAGCCACTTCTGTAACAATCGAGATCTCGCAGAACACTGTTGATGTGGTGCAAGTCAAAGACAACGGGACCGGCATCCCAAGCGAAGACCACCCATTCGTGTGCAGACGCGCCTTCACCAGTAAGATCCAGACCGTGGAAGATCTCCGGCATGTCGGAGGAACATGGCTGGGCTTCCGCGGCGAAGCGCTCGCCAGTGCTGCCGAAGTCTCCAGCAGCGTGGTCGTAACAACCAGAGTCGAGAACGAGTCGGTCGGCCACGTGCTCAAGTATGGTCGAGACGGGGAACTGATCAGGTAAGTACGTTGTCCAAGTTCGTCATGCCAGGAATACTGAAAATCCGCCCGGCAGTACGCAGCGCGCGGCGCACCCAGTGGGAACAACCGTTCGCATCGCGGATCTCTTCAAGCACATACCCGTGCGACGGCAGACGGCCTCGAAGAACGCCGCCAAGACGCTGGTCCGCCTCAAGAAGCTGGTCCAGGCCTATGCCTTGGCGCAGCCGGCGAAGCGGCTGTCCTTCAGAGTACTGAGGGCGAAGAACGAGGGCAACAACTGGATGTACGCGCCAGGCAAGGATGCGACTCTCTCGGACGCCGCCTTCAAGGTGGTGGGTAAGGACGTTGCCTCGAACTGTGTTGTGAGGGAACGGGGAGATGATCCTCCCGCTGGCATGGAGAAAGAGACCGGACGGCACTATCACTTGACCGCGCTTCTCCCGGACCCAGAGCTTGGTATGTGTTCCGTAGACTTTATTCGGAGTTTTGACTGACTATTGTCAGATGTTGCGCGAACCAGCAACTCGGGCCAGTACATCAGCATTGATGGTAGACCGCTGTCGGCTGCGAGAGGTCTCGGCCAAGACATTGCGAAATTGTTCAAGTCTTATATAAAACACGCAGCGAATTGTCAGCAGGGCTCATCGAACACTACCGACCCGTTCCTGTGCCTACATATTCGCTGTCAGGAAGCGACGTATGATGTCAACATCGAGCCTGCGAAGGATGATGTCTTGCTTGAAGACCCGCAGGAGCTGCTTTCCGCCGTGGAGGACTTGCTTCGCGGCATCTACGGAGGACAAACTGAATCCACCGAGCAGCCACGCTCTTTGCAGAAGGGAAAAGCGCCGGTCAGAGAGTCGAATGGGTTTGACTTGCTTTTGGCTCGCAAGGACCCAATGGAGGCTACGCAGAGTACAACAACGAGCAGTCACCCGCCGGGGTTCATGTCAGCACATTCAATGCTGAAGGCCACGCCACCGTCTACCGATGCATCCCATACGTCCGATCTGAACAAAATGAGACGGAAGCGTCTGGAAGCGCTGAACCCATGGTCTTTCACGAAGTTGAATATACCCAGCGGGCCTTCTAGTACCTTGCCACCTACTCAGTCAACCTACGAAGTCGTCGGCGACAATTTTGCAGAGAGTCGCAGAAACTCATTAGAGTCGCGATCTGCTCATTCACCAAAGTCACTTCTTCCGAGTCCGTCCGCATCGAGCACGAGCACGCTGTCCGTCTCTCCGTCACGAGCTCAGATTTCCCCCATTAGACTACAGGCTTCGCGCAGTCCCCAAGAGCACAATACTCACGAAAGTGTGAAGCGTGCAATTCGGGATCGCGACAGAGAGCGTTATGGAAATGGATCGCTTGACACCTGGTTTGGAAAGACTACGCAAGTGGCGATGTCCCGATTGGAGTCCTCAGGGCAGCCGCGCGAGGAACCAGAGGAGCCTTCTGTGGCGAACTTAGCAGCCCAGCGTTTCGAAGCGTCCGATACAACCTTCCAGGAACCACAAAGCCCCGCCGACGATGTACCTGACAGCCCAACTGCGGCGACCGCGATGTCGCAGCCCCTGGATCGCTCCCCATCAGCAACCGAAGATACGGAGATCCAGGGCAATCACCGCGGACTTCCAGTCCTCGAACGATGGTCCTCGAGGCTTCATCAACTGTCCAGGGACAGTCAAAACGAACTTGAGAAAGCACTGGACTTCGAACGCCGGAAGCGCGATGCCATACAGGAGCGGCGTAAACAGCTCCAGAGCAGTCAGGCCACGTCTACCCCTCGCTCACCGCACCTGAACCGATACCTCAATGCGCGAGCTGCTCTCAGCTCCAATCCAGCGATCAGCCATCCTCATGATATGGTCGAGCTGGAGCAGACAAACAGACCCGTGCTGTCTCCACATGATCCGAGGTCATACCTGATACGCTACCGCGCGCAGAACCAGAACGCGACCTCGGACGGGACGTCGAAACCCAAGCGAATCAGCACTAACAAGCTGCCATTTGAGAATATCCCAGAGGAGCACGCACTTTTTGATACGGGTGTGACAGTATCGATAGACGTCTCACGGCTCTTGAAACTAGCTAAAGGAATGAGCCCAGAACCCTTATACACGGATCCCGGGACTAGGAATGACACGCCGAGTATTTTCGCGACCGACTCACCAATCGATCTGTGGACCCAGCGTCTAAATGAATTGATAGGAGCCAGATATAGAGAAGCACAACCGGATGTTCTTCCATTGCATTTCAATTTCTCATCTCCGTCTCAATGATCTAATGATGATCGCCAAGCATACTTATACAGCATCGCCTATACCAGCATTGTCACATACGCATAATTAGCTCATGTTTCACATTTCCTTGCAGCTGGCTGCTTATATTGCGCTATAATTTGCAATAGAAATTATTTCACCTAATTACACATACATACCTGCGAATCAAGCTTGCAAGTTGTACTGCCGAGCTCCAACCCTGGCATTGGCCAATTCGGGACGAGCAAGAAAGTGACAGTACGACGTCATCAGCACGTTACATAATACTGACATCAACAGCCTACCCCAGACTTCATTTATAACCAACTCCCTCCCCCAGATTCACACGACTTCTTTTTTCCCTTCGTTCAGACCAAATCTCTAATACAACCACAACAACCGCGACCATGAATCTCACGGGGTCAGGTTCGCCGCTAGCGCAGGCGGACCGTCTCCGCAGCCCCGGCCTCGCCACGGGCGAGCTGGGCATCCTGCGCTCGACCATCCTCCCCTCGTTCGCGCTGCACACGACCCTCGACCTGGCGGCGTGGGCGGCGTCGCGCGCGACCGACAAAGCCGAGCTCAAGGACTGGAACTGGCCAGCCAGCCAGGTGATCAACGCCTGGTGGAGCGCCGTGGGCCACCAAGTGTTCTACAACAACGTCTCCCCGCAAACGGCGTGGCGCGCCCTCTCGTGGACCGACAAGACCCTCCTGTCGCTCGTGACCGCCTGGGGCACGCGGCTGTTCGCGCGCATCGCCTCGCGCACCCTGCGCCGCGGCGCCGACGACGCGCGTTACGTGCAGCTCAAGAAGCAGAACCCCGTCGGCTTCTGGAAGGAGATGCTCTGGAAGCAGTACCTGCCGGAGGCGGCGCTGCTGACGCTGATCAGCTTGCCCTTCACCCTGCCCTTCCGGCTGACGAGCCCCAGCGTCGCGTTGGACGCGGACGTGCAGGCCGCGCTGCGCGCCTTCGGCGTGGGGCTGTTCGGCGCCGGGTTCGCGCTCGAGGTCCTGGCCGACGGGCAGATGGAGGCGCACCGCGCCGAGAGGCCCGATCTGTGCCGCACCGGCGTGTGGAGCATCGTTAGACATCCCAAGTATGATTCCCTGTTGCCCCCTGCGCCCAGTCCCCAATTTTTGTTTGTATAGATGAGGGGGAGAAAGGTCACCGGCTAACCATTTTTTGTTTTTTTTTTGCGGCAGCTACCTCGGCGACACCCTCGTGCACCTGGGCTTCGCCTTCATCAACTGCGCCACCAACTTCAACCCGCTCGTCATCCTGGGCCCCCTGACCAACTACGTGTTCCTGCGCTTCGTCGGCGGCGACAAGATGACCGAGGCCAGCCAGGAGGAGCGCTACAAGACCGAGGACCTGCACAAGTACGACCAGCTCCAGGAGTGGAAGACCAAGAAGAACAGCTTCTGGCCCGGGTTCAAGGAGATCGTCAACCCGTGGACGTGGGCGGTCGTCGGCTCCGGGGTCGTGGGTGTGGTCGTCGAGGAGGGCCTTCGTGGCTTGCTCACGAAATAGGTTTCTTTCTTCTTTCCTCATGCGTGTTTCCTTCGATATACTCTGTACAACGGCAACGATCATGTAATCTATTCTTGATATCTTAATTGAATCACGGGACAAAAATCCTTCACATAACCTCCCCGTTTTGGAACTGGATTTCCGTTAGAAACTGGGAATGTTCAATACCCCTTCCCGCGTTTATACTCATTCAAAATCCCCTCCCCGCGCGCCAGCCGCCCCAGATTCTCCTTCAGGATATCCAACGACCGCGGGATATACTCCAGCCCAGCGCCGCTGATATGCGGGCTGATCTGCACGTTGGGCGCCTCCCACAGCGGATCGTCGGCGGGCAAGGGCTCGGGGTCCGTGACGTCCAGCGCGGCGCCGCCGAGGACGCCCTCGCGCAGCGCGGCCACCAACGCGGTCTGGTCGACGATCCTGCCGCGGGCGATGTTCGTGACGAAGGGTGGACTCGGGGCATGCGCCGCCAGCAGCCGGAACTCGGCCGCGCCCAGCAGATGCGTCGTCTGCGGGGTCAGCGGCAGCGCGACGACGAGGTGGTCCAGCCCCAGCGCCAGGAAGGCGTGGATCGACGCCCGATCCGTGCCGTGGTGCCACGAGACGGGGATCGTGCCCTCGCGGTCCCCCGTGCCGGGCACGATGTACCCCTCGTCGACGCGGGAGGCGGGCGTCGGTCGTGGGGAGGCCGTGTAGGCGTGCACCTGCATGCCGAGGGCGGAGGCGACGCGGCCGACTTTTGCGCCCACAATTAGCTAGCCATCGGCTATATATATACCTCCCGCTAAACCCGGGGGTCTTTTTGTGGAAGGGGGGAAACGTACTCTGCCGCCCGATACTCCCGTACCCCAGAATCCCGACCTTCCGGCCGACCTGGTCGTGGACCCCGCTCATCCACTCCCCGTATTTGCCCCAGTGGTGGCGCTCCTGGCTCTTGTAGATGTTCACGAACCGCCGCGAGGCCACGAGCCAGTTCATGATCACCCACTCGGCGATCGGGGGCCCGTGGATCCCCGAGCTGGACGTCAGTGGGATCGTGGTGGTCTGGACGATCGGGTGCGTCATGATGTGGTCGAGGCCGGCGGAGAAGAAGTGGATGAGCTTGACGCTGTTGCTGACGTTAGTTTTGAGGGTCTTGGGGAATGTCGAAGTGGTAAGGAGAAGGGGACTGTCACGTACTTGGGCACATCTTCGACGTTGGGGAGGTTGCTGAACGTCACGATATGGGTGGCTCTTTGGGCGTATTCTGCGGGGTGGGGGGGGGGTCAGTATTTCGCATAATAAAACTCTCGATCATCGAGAATATCTCTCAAAGAGAATTGCAAGCATACCGCTGGGGATTGGGGCGAAGTTCTCAAGCTTCAGATAGGTGATATCCGCGTGGGCGAACTTGGCCTGGATCTCCTCGAGGAGAGCGGGCGAAAAGTCGCTGGCGTTGGTGATGAGGATCCGGTCTTGGGCTAGAGGTGCGTCTCCCATGGTGAAATGTGAGTGTGAGTGTGAGTGTGAGTGTGTAGTAGACATGAAGGGATTCCGGAAGTGTCGAGCGTCAATGCAAGAGTGGACGTGAGGGGGTTAGATTGCGCCATTGAGTCGGTTTCTGGCGCTTTTTCCCTTTTTCCCTTATCGCCGGCAATTGCGACGATTTCCTTTTCGGGATGCTTGACAGGTCTGGGTGAGTCCCGGGGAGAGGGGGATTACTAAGCGCGGGGAACGGTCGAGATAATCTTTCTCTTATCGCTCGATTGTTCTTGGCTCGCTACTTTGTATCTTCTTTCTCTTGCACTGCTCGGTCGCTCTCACTTACCATCCATGTGCTTTACTCTTGTGAGACTCCGGCCAGCTGGCATCATGGGAGATCTTGGTGTTGCGATGGAGATTAATCTTTCGTTCAGTCACAACTTACAATTGCCGATCGGAGGCGGGTCATCATTTAATCTATTCTTCCAGTGTTGAAACATGCCGTCCCGCCAACTTCCGGTTAACGATGCCACCACAACAAACATGACAGAAGTACGGAGTACGTCGCTTAGAGACTGGTTCATGATCAGTTCACGAAAGTGGGATCGACGGCGGACAGCACACTTCACTCCCTCGAATCATCGAATCGCTTGGACTTCCCATCCTCCAATCTGACAGGCGCCTATCCGTGGTTCACCCGGCTTAGTGCTTGCAGAATGGGGCCGTGAGCTCCAGCCCGCCCCGTGGCTGATCGTTGTCTCGGAGACTCGGACAGTGGCCGTCTCTTTTGGAGTGATCGATACGGCGGCCATGGCCGAAAAATCCTTGCTAGCGCGAAGCCTGCTCCAGACTGTCGAGTCTAGGTCCGTATCGCGAGTCATCTGCCAATTCCCCCCTAACCCCCACAAACTCATTGTGATTCTCGTGTGGTCGACGGGCTAATCAGCTTCGTTCGAGCTACTGCGCTGCAGACTGCGTAACTTCATGACGGCCGCGGCAAGAACACGTTCAGCTCGCCACTATCACACCCTCCTGCAGCGACCAACAAAGCCTTGTCACCCCCAACATTTGAACTCTCCTTCCATCACGAGGTAGCTCACAATTGGGTCAAATTTGCCGAACTGACCGCGCTGAACTCGAAAACCGCACGCAATCCCCTCATTTCGTGCCGAACTGCTGCTTGTCGATCCATGTGGGTCAAGGGTCCAGCCGGCCGCTTAAATTGCCTCGACGCTGCAGGTCTTGGACGCCGTCAAGCACCAATGAAGGGCCAGCCGGCTTCTCTATCTTGCACTGCCATGCGCACGAACACCACGGGAGTAGCGCCATTTGCAGAAAGGGGTGGCGTCCATCAGGTGCGCCGGGCTGGATGTGTAATAATTAAACCTCCCAAGGGGGGATATCCACCCTTCCCCAAAACTCCTTAAATCGGGCCGGTCTCCCCCTCTGGAGCGAGGGCTTTGAAGCTTTTTGTGTTTTTCGGGAGGTTCATCCCGCCCTTTTCCACCCGCCACGATGGCGCAACATCCACGCTCCGGTTTTGTTGGACGGTTTATGAATTTGCTGCCTCGTGCACAACGTGAGCCACATGAGCAGCATCATTTTCCCCCTATGACCTCACCGGGGGTTTTTCCCCCGGCGGCGCCTGGGATGCTGCCGGGCGGAGATTTAGAGGCAATGGGCGCCGCCGCAATGCCACCTCCTGTCCCGCCGCCGCCGTCGCCGCCGCCGCAGCAGCAGCAGCAGCAACCACAACAGCACCACCACCCCTACCACCCACAGCAACAACAACAACCCCGCCAATTGACCATCTCCACCACCGACATTGGATCCCTCATCCCGCCGCAGGACAAATTGCTCGTCTTCCGCGCGTTGACGGGGATCGACAGCATTCCCGCGCTAACGACGCTGCAGCACTACCGCCGCACGGCGCCCAACATCGGCATCTACACGCGCGTCGTCAAGGCGGAGCACTCGGCGGGGCGGCGATACCGGTTCTTTAGTGTCTTGATCAACGTGTGCCTGGGGATCCAGATCGTGGTGGCAGCAGCCCTGACGGCGCTGGGCGCCGCGAGCGGGCCGCACTCGGCGGTGACGGCGTTCGGGGCGATCAACACAATCATGGCGGGGGTGCTCACGTACCTCAAGGGCTCTGGGTTGCCCGACCGGCTGAAACACTACCAGAACGAGTGGCGCAACATCCGCGAGTACATCGAGCAGCGCGAGCGCGAGCTTTGCTTGAGTGGCTGCGAGCTGGACATCCAGCAGGAGATCCACATCATCGAGTACATGTACGAGGGGGTGAAGCGCGAGATCGACCAGACGAAGAGCACGGAGAATCGGGCGGCGCCGCGCGAGGGAGGCCCAAACCGCCGGATGTTCTATCCGCAGCATAGACAGCAACAGCAACAACCGCAGCAGGTGCAGCAGGTGCAGCAGCAACAGCAACAGGGTCCGATGTATCCGTCACCGCAACCACACTCCCCGTATCCCAATGAATCGTATGTAGTGGAGAGGGTTCGGAGTCCGGCGCCGACGGAGGGCAAACCGTGACTGTGACTGTGATTGTGACTGCGACGGTGACTGCTGGCTGCATTACGATGCATAGTATGACTGATAGTAATGACTTGTGCTAATTTGAGTATGCGTTATCTAATCTCTAATCATCTTTCGATCAAAACTGGAACCTAGTGTCAACGGGAATCCCGATCGAGTCTAGAGTCTAGTCACTCGTGATTACCCCGATCCACGGAACTGGTCCCTTGCCGTCGGAGCTGATTCTTGCCTCTGATAGGAGCATCTACTCCGAAGGTTGTAAGCCCAGCACAGAACGGAGTATAGGGTTGTCTGAGCACTTATCACAACACCATCTACTAATAAACACAAAGGAAAGACTGGTGCCTAGCTTCACCTACAAAGAAAGAACTCTCCGAGTCTGAAGTATAAATCCGCGACCAAGCCTCCTCAATCCATCCGAGAAAACCAGACTCCATCCATCCACTCCCAATACAAACTCACCCCTTGACCAACCCACCAACCCACCCAATCCATCACACATGCAGAAATCCGACCAGCCCACCGGCAGCACCATGCATCTCGAAACAGCCACCGAAGCCGACGCCCCCGCCCTCGCCGCCCTGTACTTCACCTGCTTCACCAACGCGGCCCACCGGCGCGTCTTCCCCCCGACCCCGGAGATGCACGCGTGGTGGACCGCCAGCCTCCGCCGGAAGATCGCAAGCGGCCGGAGCGTGGTGCTCAAGATGGTGGATTATGCGGCGGAGCCGCTTCCTGCGGCGATCGGTAGTACCCATGAGGAGAATGGGAGTGGGAGTGGGAGTGGGAGTGAGAGTGATAGCTCCGCAGCCGGAAGTGATAGCGAGAGTGGGAGTTATGCGGCCAGTGATGAAGCTACGCGACCTAGTCCAGCAGCTAGAGATGCGGACGCAAATCCAGGCGTGGAGAAAGAGAGCATGCAAGGGAAAGGGAGAGGCAGAATCGTCGCCTTCGCGGAGTGGGAGCTCCCCTCCGCTTCCTCTTCCTCTTCCCCGGCGCCTGCGCCTGCCTCTTCTACCCCCCTTCAAGGCCTCGAGCAAACCCAGCCTCAACCCCCCGAGACACATACCCACACCCAGGACGCAAAAGACCCCACTCTCCCACCCAACCTCTCCCCCTCCGACAAAGACCTCCTGCTCCGCCTCCGCGCCCAAACCACCCGCCACCGCGAGGAGGATATGCGCGGCGTCGAGGGCGGGTATTATTGTGCGTTCCCCTCCCTCCCATTTCGTTACTATACACGGGAAATGCCCCGGCATACACCTTCTCTGGACGACGAGCTCATGCTAACAGCGACGCTAGACCTCAGCATCCTCGGCACCAATCCCGCATACCGGTCCCAAGGGCTGGGATCCCGGCTGCTGGCGTGGGGGATCGAGCGCGCCCGCGCCGAAGGGAGACAGATCTACCTGTGTGCGTCGCGGGAGGGGCGGCCGCTGTATGTGAAGCGGGGGTTTGTGAGGGTTTCGGAGGGGGAGGTGGTTGTTGAGGAGGGGGGGGAGAGGAATTGGTTTATGGTTTGGCGGGGATAGATTTTATTTTGGGAGTTGGTGTAGATGTGTACGTGCTGTACATCCGATTCGAGGAGAGAGTGGCTATTTGGGCTTGTGAGTGGTTTTGGTATTGGATATGTTCATTGGGATAGACTGCAAGTGTACATACAAAGTGTGGGATATCGGTATCGTGGAGAGGATTTCATGGGGAAGTGGATTACGGAAGGATAAACTGATGCATACAGCACACATACTTCATATTTCATATTTCATATTTCATATTTCATACTTCGTATACCATCCATGCCATCATAGGCTAACGCCCACCCATTTTACTCTTATCCCCTAAGTTTCCCCAGACTAAGCAGCAGCACGACCCTTGGTCTCGGGTACGCCCATCCAAGCCGCACCCATCACCACCCAGATCGCACCGGAGAACCACACCGCCGCGCCGCCGGCAGCACTGCTCTCGAACGTCGTCACGACCGACGCGATCAGCCCGAACAACCCGCACAGGAAACCCATCACACCCAGACCGAAGCCGCGGAAGGGCGCGGCGAACAGCTCCACCGTGTACGTGGTGAGCACGGCCAGGTTAGCAGCCCCCAGGAACGACAGGAGGCATTCGAACGCCAAGAGCGCGTCGCGGGATCGCGACACCGTCGCCAGGAACATGAACAGCCCCGTCAGCACCGCAAGCACGGCCCCCGTGCGCTTGCGTCCGAGACCCTTGGCCTCGATCAGAAAGCCGGCGATGATCGGGCCGGGGATGGCGCAGGTGGCCACGTACAGGTACCGGCTGTACAGATAGTCCGTGGTCACGGTGGTGGCGGTGATCGAGGCCACGCCCTTGGTGATGAGGTACGTGCTGATGTAGGTCTTGTGGAGGATAAAGGTCAGCCCCGTGACGGACCAGAGGAGGCACAGCGCGGCAAGGCCGAGAGGGCCGGCGGATGACAGCAGCGCCTTGAGGCGGGATGGTCGACGCGACCCGGGCGTGCTGGCGTCCACGGTCGAGTCGATGCGCGCGAAGGACGACTCGTCCAGCCAGGTGCGCCGCTTGTTGTAGGCTGCCATGTCCTTGACCAGCTGCGTCGCTTCGGCGTCCCGGCGTTTCGAGAGCAGATATTTGGGCGTCTCGCGGAGGGGAAAGGCGAAGCGGCAGAGGTACAAGAACAGAGTCATGCAGCCGAAGGTCCACCACACGTATCGCCATCCCTTGTTGCTGACATAGTGGCAGGAGCTGCTGCTGCTGCCGCCGCCGCCGCCGCCACCGCTACCGGATCCTGTGGCGCGGGATTGGTGGGAGAGTGCTGTCGCCGTGCTGACCTCGTCGGGACCAGTGCCGCATGTGTACTCCGCGATGAACGCCCTATGCTCGGTTAGACCAGTCTTCAACCCAGACAGGAGCACACTCACCAGCCAACAGCTGACGCCACGAGCTGTCCCAGTCCCCAGAAAGCACCTTGGATGGTGACCAAGAACTGGTGCGAGGCAGGAACCGACTCCAGCAGGATCATCGCATCCACAACTTGGTTTCCAGCCACCGCAAAGCCCACAACGAATCCCACCACACAAAGACCCGTGAAGGCGGGCATTCCGGCTCCCACCAGTCCTCCCATGCCCATGAGGACGACGGTGCTGGTGAAGATCCACTTGCGGCCCAGGAAGTCGGACATCCAGGGCCAGGCCGTCGCACCGGTGGTGATGCCAACAAACAAGCTGATAAACAGGTAAGCCTCCTTGTTGTACGAGTAGAAGAATTGCGCCTCGTTGGCGGCGGACGGGGCGATAATGAAGAACGACATCAGCCAGAACTAAAACGTTAGCACCCCTCACGATTCTCACGTATGGTTCGAGTTCCAACATACACTGTCCAGAAACCATCCGACACTGGTGATCACAAAGAGCAACCACTGGTACAGGCCCATACCCATGTCCAACAAGGCTTGGTTCAAGAGCGCCGCCTTGGCCGCATAAACCGCGTCCGTTCCCGCCTGGGAAGTCGGGGTGTCGATCGTCGATCCGTAGACATTGGTGTGCGGTCTGTCCGAAGGAGACTCCTTGGGGTGAGGCGCTTTCTCGACATCGGCCACCAGAGTGGAGGCAAAGGCACTCTGGGCCTCGATGTTACGCTCACGAGTCACTGGCAGGACCTGTTCCGTCGTCATCTTTGTTGTGTCCAAGTTTGCAACTGGCCAGAAGGACGAGAGAGAGAAAAATGATAGCCGTGGGGAACAGCACCCCGCTTTATGTAGACCTGAGGGGCAGCTGTCGACCGGGGCCGAGCCCGACGAGTCACAGGCTTTCAATATCGAAGCATGCCTTATCTGCGGCCCAGTACGTAAAACTCGGCCGCGGAGATATTTAGCTTGCTGCTCATGGTGACTTTGAGGGATTGGTCAAGGAGTATAGCCCGTTATCGAGGGCAAGCCGAAGCGCCGTGGAGATCCCCAGCCGATTGACCCTTCCTGTGTCCCTCACATTGCATCCAATCTCCAGACGCAGGCAATTTTTAGGAGTAAATACTATTGCCCTGCAGAAACGCACAAATCCTCAGCATTGCCCCCGTCAAGAGGATAAAACTTCATCCCGCGAGCGGAGATCGGACGCAAAAAACGGCCCACACCCCGAGCGGATGGAGCTGGGGTCGGACATAGCCCCAGCTGTCAAATAGGAATCGGGCAGCGAGTGGAGGAGTAGCTGCACGACGGAAACACCATTGGCTGGCGTTGCTTGTCTCTGCTGCCAAGATTCTCTCGATGCTGAGGGTTGCGTTGCCTCGAGGGTCGTGCCATGGTGGTCGAGCAGTGGCCCACAAGCCTTAGATGAGTCCAAAGCTTTAAGTGAGTTAGAGTCCTGAGACCCCTAGCATGAGCACCGTCAGCAAGCATGCCTGTCTTCCTTTTTTGGGGTTCGAGTGGCTGTCAAGTACAGGATCCAAGCAGACAAGAAGAATGAGGAATGAGGATGCATGCACTGCAGATGCAGTGCATTGCGGAATCTAAACACAGTCAGTTTGTCGGCGGTAGCCGCTGTCGGCCGAGATTGCCCGATCAGGCACCAACCCTTTTACACCTGCGGCAAGCCTCAGGCCTCAACCTCAAGATGCATTATTAATCAGCACTGTAGAACAACCATCACGTCATGGGCCTATCATCTCCGCCTGCATACTATATCAAGGCCTCATTCATGCCAAACATAGACTCTCAAACACAACCATCGATTTCCAACCTACATACACATACAAATACACATACCACAAAGCAACCAAAAATGACCCACCTCCCCAAGATCTTCATGCAAGTCCACCACCCACCCCACTCCATTAGTCAAAACCCCCAACTTCAACTAACCAAAACCCCCACCAGCACCGGCGCAACCGGCTACATCGGCGGCGACGCCCTCTACGCCCTCATCCAGAAGCACCCGGAGTATCAATACACGGTGCTAGTCCGCAGCGCCGAGAAAGCCCAGGCCGTGCAGGAGCAATACCCCTCCGCGCGGGTAGTCATCGGCGACCTCGACAACTCCGAGCTGTTAGAGAAGGAGAGCGCCGACGCCGATATTGTTCTCCGTACGTTTGCCTGCCCATCCCCTACCCCCATTCACCTATCTCCGATATCCCCAGCCCAGGGCTCCCGTCTTGCTACGCTATACCTACCGCCGAAAGCCCAGCCCAGCCGACCGATCTTTAAGGATAGCTAACAAGACAGGAAAACAGACACAGCCGACGCCTCGGACCACGCGGGCGCAGCCAAGGCCATCGCCGCGGGCCTGGCCAGGGGCCACACCCCCGCGAAGCCGGGGTACTGGCTGCACACGGGCGGGACGGGGATCCTGACGTACGCGGACACGGACCGGGAGGTGTTCGGCGAGGCCAGCGACAAGGTGTACGACGACTGGGACGGGGTGGACGAGCTGCTGAGCTTGCCGGCGCATGCGTTCCACCGAAACGTGGACGAGATCGTGCTGGAGACGGGGGCGAAACGGGGGGAGGTCGTTCGGACGGCGCTGGTGTGTCCGCCGACCATCTACGGTATGTCCCCACCGGGCCCCACGGGCCCCGGTTCTCGTCCCTTGCACCTTTAGCGTTAGCTCTATCATGATGCGTGTATCTGGGTGGAAACTGCTGTTGACAACACCGAACAGGAAGAGGGAGAGGCCCGTCCTCCCGCCGCGGCCGGCAAGTCTACGAGCTGGCGCGCGTGACGCTCGAGCTCCAAAAAGCGCCCATCATCGGCGCGGGAAAATCCATCTGGAACAATGTGCACGTGCACGACCTCAGCGATCTGTATGTCTTGCTGGTCGAGGCGGCCGTGGCTGACAGAGATGGTCGTCAGCGCGATGGAAGCAACGCCAACGACCGCGAGCGCTGGGGCGCGCGCGCCTACTACCTCGCCGAGAATGGCGAGCATGTCTGGGGGGAGCTGTCGCGGGCGATCGCCAAGTATGCGGCTGAGCTGGGCTTGATCGGGCAGTCGAGGGCGGAGCAGATCAGCTTGGAGGAGGGGAAGAAGTTCGCTGGGTTTGAGTCGCTGAGCTGGGGGCTGAACTCGCGGGGGAGGGCGAGGAGGGCGGCCAAGGTGCTGGGGTGGACGCCTTCGCGGCCGAGTCTGGAGGCGACGCTGCCGGAGATCTTGGAGGATGAGCAGCGCAGGTTGCTGAAGTGAGATTTCTTGTCTCGGTCGATGTGGATAAGGCTGAAGCTGAGAGAGCTCGAGGACTGGTTGAGACGGCGAGCTTCCAGGCATTTTATCTACAATTACCAGGCACACTTGTGGAGCACCGATGATCAAATTTTATATGCTAGTATTATACGCAGCCGAAGCTCCATGTATGCCATAACAGCACCGCTCAGAAAGATAGACTGACCACAGACGCAGACCGGCAAAGAGCCAGTAGGCATGCAAGCCTGAACCCGATGACACAAGGAAAAAAGAAGCGAGTGCAATCATTCGTAAAATCGTTAATGGCAAACGGCCCGGACAAGGCCTATGTTGGTACTCCTAGCATCCGAAGACGCTCCCGTAGCGCTTCGACCTCCTCTTCGACCTCCCCCTCTCCCTTCTTATCCTTCAAGGAGATGGACCGGTACTCTCCATCTCCTCCTGGCGCGCCGACGGTCACCCAAACAAACTTGCTGCCGCTGCTGCCTGCGTGGGCGCGTTCCTGGGAGCCCTCCCAGAAGATTTCAAGCGCACTGAGACCTTCAGAAGATGACGGCCGCCCTCCTAGCCGCCCTTGCTTGATCCAACCCTTCATGACCTCCTTGATGAAGATGATCTTTTGCATGAATAGGTTCGCGTCAAGAACATCGCGGATTCGGTCGTCGGCTGCACTGGCACTACCGCCGTAGGCAATGCTGAGGAACGTGGAAACTTCGTCCGACGCTACAGCCCGTGTGTCAAACCCAGAGGGGTGCATTCTTCCTTTGGCGCTCAGGTACCGCGCAGCCGAAGGTGAGAGATGATAGAAGTCAACCCACGGCGACGAACTTCTCGTGCGCCCTGGAGAAATGACGAGTTTGGTGTGATCGGGGAAGTTGAACTACAAGACAGTTAATCCGCATGGCCTTTCTGACTGAAGTTTAGTGTACTAACCTGAAATGCGCCGTCTCCAAATCCCCAGACGCCCACATTGCCCAGTCGCTGGTAGAATTTGATGAACTGGCCTGGGTTGTCGATGGTCAATTCGTCTTCGACAAGGGTTTCGTCACCATGTCGACCAAGAGACCCAATCATGTACTTGCCAAACTGATCAACCAACTTGACACGTTTGATCTTCTCCGCATCCGCACGCGCACAGTCAATGCCCGAATTGGTGCGGACTTTGATACCAGAACCTGACGAGCCACTGGAAGAACTCTTCACTTCGAATAGTGACGGCGAAATGGACGCTTTCCGAATTCCGCCGCGGCATTCGGAAAAGTTCAGATTACAATTTTCGTAGAATTCTACCGGCTTCCCGTGTCGTGGAATCAGCTGGTCAGCTTCCGGGTATACGTACTGCTCATCCTCCTGGCTACGGGCTTTCCGGCGAATATGTCTTTCGCCGTCCCGTACCACCACGCCACTCGCTTGCTGGCTGTGCTCAGCCTTGAATAGACACCCCACGCTGCCATCGTCCAGCACATAGCCGATTCCGTACCGATTAGTGTAATCGACCCATTTGATGACATACGAGTGAGGCGTTCTGCGCAGCCCTGCCCTCCTTCGTGCTGCAGAGTGCGGTACCATGTTAGCTAGCATGTGTCTCAGGTCGGTATTCACATCTTCGAGCGATGTCCTTGGGAGTATCTCGCAGGGGTCACTCGAGTGAAAGAGAGGATGAGCCCCTAACGTCGATCGTGGCTTGGTACCCGATGAGGTAGTCGCCCTGCTGCTGGAACTGTTGGTCGACTGTGAAGACTGTGTCTCAGAACGCACAAGTTTTCGCTCCCCGGTCGAGCCTTCGCTGGAAGACCCCTTAGGCTCTGACCTTGGCTTTGATGCTTCAGTGGGCTCCGCCTTTGGGGCTGAGCGGAGGGATGATTGGCGTGCTTTCACAGGTTTGCTGTCTGCTGTTGCCGACACCACGCGCTCTTGCACAACCGGCATCGTCTGTGTGCTTTCTTGGCTAGCAGCCTCTAGCCTACGGGACTGTGATCGCGTTTTGCCAATAGTAAGTATGCCGGGACCATTGCTCGACAACGCTTGCGAAGGAATATTTCGATCCAAGTCGCGCAACGAGCTAGAATAGGACGCCGCCACGCCGCGGCGCGCTCGGATAGGGCGTTCAGCCAGTCCACCTGTGGGAATGGGCCCTGTAGCTGCAACGTTAGAGTCGACACCTCTTCCGTCGGAAACAGCCCGTGCTGCTGCGGCTGGAGGTTCGCAGATCGCGGATATTTTCCGGACAGATCCTCTGCCAGTAGCAGCCTGCTGCCGGAGCGTCGCTGCGTGGCTCTGAGACTCCTTCCGTCGCTGCTGCGCAGCGGCCAGTGCTGCTTGAGTGCGGGTAATTGAAGCTGCATTAGCACGTACAGATCCACTGCTTTTCCTGGAAAGCACACTCTCGTCGAATGAGGAACCATCCTTTCGGGCCAAGAGAGCAGATACCGGGTCACTCCAATCTCCATCTGGTACATTGGGGTATTTGTACACAATGTCCTCCGGCAACGGGATGACCGGCTGGAAACCTCTTTCTTCCTCAATTAAACACTCGGCATAAGCGGACTTCGAGCAGTTTCTGCCCACAGCCTTGCGCGCAGAGCCATCCGGTTTCCGGCCCACTCCGCATAGCGTGTAGAACGCGGCTCTACATATGGCATATCGCTGACTTGGGTCATCCACGTGTTCTATATATCCAGAAAGCCTGTCGTCGTACTCCAAACTATAACCCATCATCATGTGATCGCCACGAGGCTCGTCCGGTCTCAACCAGACAGGCCTGTTGAGGCAGCTTCTCGGATCTAGACGTTTCGGTATGCAGCCCTCGTACATGCTGAAGAATGGATGCTCAACCAGGTCATCCGGTTCGGGGCGTTCATCTTCTGACAGATTGAGACACGAGCTCACGAGGGTTTTAGCCTCTTCGGGAATGTGGTTGGCGCACTCGGCCCCCTTGGGCCAGACATATGTCAGGTTTCGAACTTTCTTATAGATCTCTTCTTGCGTTTTAGATTGGAATGGCGGGTAACCTGTAAGCATAGCGAAGCTGCACATACTTAGCCTGAGGTTCGTTCAAGGTAGTTCAGGATACTTACCAGATAACACCCAATGACCAAATATCCACCTTCTGAGTGTGTCCACCCTTGCTCCGATCAAGAACCTCCGGCGCGATATAGTTTGGTGTGCCGCATAGTGTTCTCCTTCGCTTTTCGTCCTTCTCTGATACAATCATAGCCGCGAGGCCAAAGTCGCCGACCTTGATGTCCATGTTCTTGTCCAGAAAGAGGTTCCCCATCTTCAAGTCTCGGTGTGCCACATTGCGCTTGTGCAGATATTTCACTGCACCGCAGAGCTGGATCATGAATCGTCGGACCTCGGGTAAGCTCAAGCATTTTCTCTTCCTAACCATATCCATGACCGATCCATTCGGGCATAATTCCAGGATGACATATATGCAGCTGTCGAAGGCGAAGGCGCGATGGAACTCGACGATATGGGGGTGGCGCATTTTCGAATGGATCTGAAGCTCTGTTCGGAACTGCGCGGCAAGGTCAGTGATCGTTCGACAGCGAAGTGCGCGTCTAGTGCAATACCTTCTCTTGCATCTTCTTCTGGGCCATCTCAGACCGGACTACCTTCATAGCGAAGACGCGGCCATTGCGCAGCAGGGTCCCCTCATAACAAATCGCAAAGCCTCCCTTTCCGAGGAACGCCCCAGTCGAGTATTGCTCTCCATTCTCCTCGGGCTCAACGACTAATGACGGCGGTGGTGGCGCATGGTTCTTCGACGACGAGGATTTCTGAGCGGCAGCGGCAGCGGCAGCGTTTTTATCCAGCACTTTACGCTCCATCGACACCTTTGGTCTGATCACTTGGTTGGTGGATCGCGGTGACAATGCGTCCAACATGTTGCACTCACAAGACGTCGCGTCTTATAGTTGGGTATCAATGCTTGCGACCAGAGACAGACCAGCAGCTTCGGGCAAGTAAGTCGGGCGTAGCGAACATCAGATGGGGCGGTCGAGAGAGTCAAGGAAGGGCGAATGGGACAATAGGGGGATATAATGAACCGATTGATGCCTGAGTATCTTTTTGAGAGGTTAGTAACGTGAAGCGATAAGATGATATGCGCGCGTCGCCACTCGGGGAGCTCCAACGCCGGTCATTGATCGATGGGTCGAGGGACTCTTTCACGGCAGCAACGGGAGCACCACCGACAAGCAGAGCAAGAGGGCAGCAAAGAGACTGGGCCAGCAACAAGACAGACATACCGGGAATCAACAAAATTATGAAACAATGACGCTTAAAAACACAAAGCCATGCATATAACGCCGCACAACCCAAAGAGTTTTTGTGTTTGAGGGAGAGGGCGGGGAGGGGGGGGGAGGGAGAGGTGGGGGCGGTGGTTCAGCAGGTGTCCGGTAGGGATAAGTATTGTAAATGTAGGGAAGACCAAGGAGAAAGTTCCCCCGGCCGGCTGGGCTCAGCGCCAGGCAGGGCTTGCCAAACGGATTACCCGAAATGGCAATCGATAAACATTGATCCGACTGCCGCAACAACGGCCACATTGCTGACATCAGCAAGTATTGTCTCGGCATTTATGCACCACTAAACTTAATGCTTACTGAAGTGCGGGCACATGCTTGTCAATTGCCAGCCTGATAATCCAGACCGATTTCCGCAATATGTGACCCATCGAAGACGATAGCCAGCCCAGCCGCAATGCATGAAGATCTCCAGACCACACCTCGTTAATAACACTCTGCATGGATTCTATTCATACCAACCTTCTTGTCTATCTCTAATCCTTCTTTCCTAATTTATACACATCATGTCTCTCACTCTCAAACTCTCCTCCCTTGTCATCCGCACACTGTCGAAGCCGATCGCCGTAAGCTCTTCTCCCAACCGACTCCGCGTCGCCAACCCATCCACAAGTGAATGACTACTGACCACCTTCGAAGAACCAACTCAAAGCACAGGCTCGCGAGCATGAACGTTTCCGCCGGATCTGCGTCTCCATGGCGCAAGGGCTCCACCGCATCGACATGCGGCTCCGCCTAGGCAGCCTGCGCGACACGGCCGCATCTCAGAAACGGGCCGCGGCCGAAGCAGAGCTTCGCAAGCTCAAACCCACCTCCCCGACGGCCAAGACCGAGGCCGAGACCAAGGCGGAAGAGGCGGCCCTCGCCAAGGTCCAAGAGGCGGCCAAACCGGCGCCCAAGCCGCACATCCGGCCGCTGTCGGAGTCCAAGGCCATCGAATCCGGTGCGACGTTCATCAGTGAGACGTTCTTGTTCCTGGTGGCGGGGGGCTTGATCGTATTCGAATCGTGGCGGTCGCGCCGGAAGGAGACAACGCGCCGGGAGGACGTGGAGACCCGGCTGGCGGAGCTGGAGCAGACGGAAAAGGCGACGAGGGAGGCCCTGATCGCGCTGGAGAAGGAGCTGCTACAGCTGAAGGCGAAGCATGGGGAGCTGTCCAAGTCGTCGAAGCGGATCCTGCCGCGCTGGGTGTGGGAAGAGCCGGAGGAGACGGCCCAGGAGGTCGAGACTCCAGGGTTGCTCACCCGCGTGGCGTCGTTGTTCTCGTTCGGGGAGAGCGCGGAACAGCGAGCTGAAGCGGTGATCAACGAGAGCAAGAGTGTCAGCACGACATCGACCGGTGATGCGCAACAGCCTGCACCAGTGGCATTGCCCGCTCCGGTGGGCCGTGATGGGCATGAAGCAGAGCCGAAGAAGGCTTAGTGGGCGCCTAATTGTCTTGGTGACGGTTCTGTATATATAATGAGATAGAAATTGGGGAGATACACCGGGGAGAGTACATGGTTTGCTGATGCTTCTGGATACCCTTTGTATATTACCGCGTGGGAGGGAGAAGATTGAAGGGGTGCCGGTTCTAGATATATAGAAGCGGAATGATGTTCCGCATAGACTTAATCAACTCCTCTCTGATACACTTACACTGTCCTGGTATTCGTGTCCGACGGCGTCTCTCGAACCATGGAAATCTCTACCGGTATCCACGGGATTTTCAGTTCCTCGTTGCGCGAGCAGCCCATATGGAAAGTCCTAGGGCCGATTTTGTCAACATCAACGGTTATGAGAGGTCTGCTACCACCATCAGTGACGGTTCAGCAACTAATCGATGTTGAAATCAGACTCCACACTTCAAGACATAGATTTCAAGTTCCCTTTGCAACACAGTCCAGGGTCCCTCGCAATTCTTCTTTTAACTCCTGTATCCCTTGACCCGTGCAATCGGCAGGACACCCTATATCGCTTGAAACGCCTCGCACAGCACAGCGATGGTGGCTCTCGAAGAATCGCCGTAGCCTATCTGCTGTCAGATGCACCGTTCGCCAGCGCAAGCGGCAAATCCAGTCTCAATGGATTGGTAGTACTGGAAATAATGTAATCGATCCTCCCTGTGACGAAACCTCACCATGAATCTGAATAGATATTATGATAGAATGCTCGAATCCCTCCCCGCTATAATGCCTACTATCCCGATTGCAGACGCTTCATGCCTCCTGTCCTCGATCCAGGACTACATCAGCAATCTCCAAGATATGCCTGGTCCACGTGCGAGCCCTGCACCGTTGCATGGTATATGACGTTGGCCGTTGACGACGGCTCCACTTGCATTGAATGCCATCCAGGGTACGGAGCAGAGGCATGCTGTTGTCTAAACGGCTACGCAACCCAGGCATTCCCACGATTGACAGCAGTCAGATGGGTTTCTTGTTATGGATTCATTGCTACTAGGTCTTGTTAAGAGTAAAAGTACTGTCCATCCCTTCTTTACAGAAAGACTGTGGTGGCCCAATGTCTTGCGACTATTGATCCAGGGGTAGGATGAGGGATATATCCGAGCAGTGGGGCACGGCGAGATTGCTCCGGCGGTGGTCAGGGTGGCCCGAAGGCCTGTGTCCCAATTGGTGATGGAGAATACTTTTTGTGGAAAGGACTGGCACTTTACCACTTTACAGGTAATTGACCCTTTCTGACCCCTTATCGGGCATTGTCAATGGGTAGCGAAAAGTCCCAGAGACTGGCTAGAAGGGCGAGGTGAGACTGACTGCAGGCGTGACGTAGTGAGGGGGAAGCAATCCCGCACTTGGGCAGGAACACAAAAATAGTTCCAGCCACATATAGATAGATGTACTGTACTCCGTACTGCGCTGTGATTTGGGCTATCGCAGCTGTATTCATGAAAAATCCCAATTCCACGGCCCAGGAAGGAGACAAGATGGAAGAGCTTAGCGTCAGGGTCTGAGGCAAGCAATTTGCGATCGATTTGCCTCTAGGCAGAAATCCACAATCCGGAGGGGACAGTTTGTTGTCCAAGACAGACAGACACACAGGGAATGATTCCGTAGTTGGTGATTGATTGCGCGTATTCGGCTGAGTAAGAAAGGCCCCGAGAGAAAAGTTAACTAATCCTAGTGTGGCGCAGGCCCCATCGGCAGCGAGGAACCGCCCGCGTACTGTCCTCGACCGACGGTCCGCAGTCAGTCAGTCATCTCCTCCTCCTCCGTCCTCCACCACACAGGCACCATTCGTCATTCTTCCTGCCTCCCTCCCTCCCTCCTCCTCCGTATAGAACCTCTTTTTCTTTCCCCTCCCCTTCTCTTCTATCTTCTAGAACTACTATTCACAATTATCTCTCCTTGAATCTCTGGAATGAACCACCTTCCTCCTTGTGTTCATTCCTGATTCTCTCCCAAACACGATATACTCTATACCACCCGCAACTGATAGGACAGATATCTTGACGCTTGGGCGCAAGTTCCGGGCTGATCGGAACTCACAACAACCATGGTGAGTTGAAAGTCCCCAGCCACCTACTACAGACGACATCATCACATTGCCAATCCACTCGAACTCCGCTGACCCCGATCCTTCATCAGGGACACTCGCGACGCCCGGCCGGCGGGGAGAAGAAGAGGTTCGGTCGCTCCAAGGCGGCGGATGTGGGCGACGGACGACAAGCGGGCAAGCCGCAGGTCAAGAAGGCCACCTTCGAGAGCACAAAGAAGAAGGAAATTGGTGTTTCCGATCTCACCCTGCTCAGTAAGATCTCCAATGAAGCGATCAACGATAACCTGAAGCTCCGCTTCGAACACGATGAAATCTACGTAAGCCGGCCACCACTTCCCCTCCCCCCGCCCAGTCGCACAGCCAAGCGCTGCGAGTGCGTCTCACTAACCATGCTTCTCAATGCCCAAATAGACTTATATCGGACATGTGTTGGTGTCCGTCAACCCTTTTCGCGACTGTAAGTATCGTTGCCCCTGAAACCTACCGCTCCCCTCCCCCGCTGGTCGCGTGCCTGACCCTTTCCGCATAGTGGGGATCTATACCGATCAAGTGCTCGACTCCTACCGGGGTAAGAACCGACTCGAAGTCCCGCCCCATGTGTTCGCCGTCGCCGAATCCGCCTACTACAACATGAAGTCATACAAGGATAACCAGTGTGTGATTATTTCGGGAGAGTCGGGTGCCGGAAAGACGGAGGCGGCCAAGCGCCTGATGCAGTACATCGCCAACGTATCGGGGGGTACCGACTCATCGATCCAGCAGACGAAAGACATGGTTTTGGCCACCAACCCGTTGCTGGAATCCTTCGGTAACGCAAAGACTTTGCGCAACAACAACTCGTCGCGTTTCGGAAAGTACTTGGAGTTGGAATTCAACGCCCAGGGAGAGCCCGTGGGTGCCAACATCACCAACTACTTGTTGGAGAAATCGAGAGTCGTGGGGCAGATCACGAATGAGCGAAACTTCCACATCTTCTACCAATTTACCAAAGCTGCGCCGCAGAAATACCGAGGTATGTGGCATTGGGGAGGCATCGATTGGTACGCAGCTGACACATTAGGTAGACAATTTCGGTGTACAACAACCCCAGTCCTACGTATACACGAGTCGCTCGAAGTGTTTCGATGTGCCAGGAGTCGATGATGCGGCGGAGTTTCGGGATACTTTGAATGCAATGGGTGTGATTGGTATGAGCGAACCCGAACAAGACAACGTGTTCCGGATGTTGGCTGCCATCCTGTGGATAGGAAACGTCACATTCGCCGAGGATGATTCAGGAAATGCCGCCATTACGGACCAGTCGGTTGTCGATTTCGTCGCATATCTGCTAGAGGTCGATGCTGCGCAAGTCAACAAGGCGCTCACCATCCGTCTGATGGAGACTGCCCGTGGCGGCCGCCGAGGGTCGGTCTACGAGGTTCCCTTGAACACGGTGCAAGCCGTGGCTGTCCGTGACGCATTGGCCAAGGCCATCTACTTCAACTTGTTTGACTGGATCGTGGGACGTGTCAACTCGTCGCTGACCGCCCGAGGTGCGATCACCAACTCCATCGGTATCTTGGATATTTATGGGTTCGAGATTTTCGAAAAGAACTCGTTCGAACAGCTGTGCATCAACTACGTCAACGAAAAGCTGCAGCAGATTTTCATTCAGTTGACTTTGAAGGCGGAGCAGGATGAATATGCGCGCGAGCAGATTCAATGGACTCCGATCAAGTACTTCGACAACAAGGTCGTGTGTTCGCTGATCGAAGACAAGCGGCCTCCCGGTGTTTTTGCTGCGCTCAACGACGCTTGCGCTACCGCACACGCCGATTCGAGCGCCGCGGACAACACCTTTGTTGGGAGACTCAACTTCTTGGGTCAGAACCCGAACTTCGAGAGCCGACAAGGTCAATTCATTGTCAAGCACTACGCGGGTGATGTCAGCTATGCTGTGGAAGGAATGACCGACAAGAACAAGGACCAGCTGCTCAAGGATCTGTTGAACCTTGTGGGATCCAGTGGCAACCAGTTCGTTCACACATTGTTCCCCAACCAGGTCAACCAGGACGACAAGAGACGCCCACCGACTGCAAGCGACAAGATCAAGGCTTCTGCCAACGACCTTGTGGCGACTCTGATGAAGGCTCAGCCGTCGTACATCCGTACGATCAAGCCGAACGATAATAAGGCTCCTAGGGAGTATAACGTGGGCAATGTTCTGCACCAGATCAAATATCTGGGATTGCAGGAAAACGTTCGGATCCGTCGTGCGGGTTTCGCCTACCGCCAAACCTTTGACAAATTCGTGGAGCGGTTCTACCTTTTGTCGCCCAAGACCTCATACGCTGGTGACTACACGTGGACAGGCGATGCCGAGTCTGGTGCTCGGCAGATCCTGAAGGATACCAGCATTCCCACCGAAGAGTACCAGATGGGTATCACCAAGGTTTTCGTCAAGACTCCGGAGACATTGTTCGCGCTGGAGGCCATGCGCGACCGCTACTGGCACAACATGGCGATCCGGATCCAGCGCGCTTGGCGCAATTACCTGCGCTACCGGACCGAGTGCGCGATTCGCATTCAGCGCTTCTGGCGTCGGATGACTGGTGGTCTTGAGTTCATCAAGCTGCGTGACCAGGGTCACCAGGTGCTGCAGAACCGTAAAGAGCGTCGGAGGATGAGTTTGCTCGGCTCGCGTCGGTTCTTGGGAGATTACGTGGGGATCGGCAACAAGGGTGGACCTGGGGAGATGATTCGTAACGGTGCAGGCATTAGCGGTATGTGTTCTGCTCTTCGCATTTGGCATGACCTCGGCTGACGAATCCAGGATCGGAGAATATTCTTTTCTCGTGTCGTGGGGAGGTTCTGGTGTCCAAATTCGGACGGTCCAGCAAGCCTTCACCTCGTATTCTTGTTCTGGTACGTTGCAGGCCCAGGGGTATTTGGACGTGGACTAACCAAAACAGACAAATCGACATGTATATATTGTAGCGCAAACGTTTGTCAACAATCAGCTCCAGATCTCGTCGGAGACGACGGTACCAATTGGTGCTATCAAGTCCGTCAGCACGTCCAATTGCCGGGATGACTGGTTCTCTCTGGTGGTGGGCGGACAGGAGCCCGATCCTCTGGTGAACTGCGTTTTCAAGACGGAATTTTTTACCCATCTCAGCAACGCTCTCCGCGGCCAGTTGAACCTGAAGATCGCCGACCAGTAAGTTTCTTTCTGAGTGGCGATGATGGCCGTTTTACTGACGCTGTGTAGCATCGAATACAACAAAAAACCTGGCAAGCTGGCCACCGTGAAGGTGGTCAAGGATCCGGGATCGTCGAACGTGGACAGCTACAAGAGTAGCACGATCCACACCAGTGCCGGCGAGCCCGCCACTTCAGTCTCCAAGCCCACCCCCCGCCCGAAGCAGGTCGCTGCACGGCCCGTCACGACAGGCAAGCTGCTGCGGCCTGGCGGACCGGGCGGTGGCCCGTCGAAGCTGGCGTCGCGACCTGCCCCGGCGCGCCAGCCACTGCCTCAGCAGCCAGCAGCTGCAGCTGCCGTGCAACCACCCCCGCCCGCGCCTCAACCTGCCGCCCAGGCTCGCCCGGTGCCTCAGCCTGTGGCCGCCGTTGCCGCCGCGTCCCATACCCGCACTGCATCATCTGGATCAGTGCGAGCACCCCCACCTCCTCCGCCCACGGGGCCCCCAGCCCCGAAGAAGGCCACGGCCAAGGTCTTGTACGACTTCAACAGCGACCGTTCGAACGAGCTGTCCATTCGAGCCGGCGAGATCGTGCAGATCGTGTCCAAGGAGGGTAACGGTAAGCAAACCTGTGTGTCGGACCATCGCAGTACCATACTAACAAGACATCAGGCTGGTGGCTCTGCATGAACATGACCACGTCCGTCCAAGGCTGGACCCCGGAAGCCTACCTGGAAGAACAAGTCGTCGCGGCCGCGACCCCCAAACCCGCGCCCCCGCCGCCTCCTCCGGCCACCGCACGCGCCAGCCCCATCCCGGCGACCAACGGCGCGGCCGCGGCCGCAAAAGCCAAAGCCAAACCTGCGCCGCCCGCGCCGCCGATGAAACGGCCGAACATGGCCGGACGCAAGATGGCGCCGGCGCCGCCCCCGGCACCCAGAGACAGCGCGGTGAGCATGAACTCGGCGCACGATTCGTCGGGAGGTAGCGGCCGGGCGACGCCGAACAGCGCGTCCAACGCGAGTCTAGCGGGTGGATTGGCGGAGGCGTTGAAGGCGCGGCAGAATGCGATGCAGGGGCATCATCAGGACGACGACGATGACTGGTAGTGCCTCGATCACCGCCTCGATCATGGGGGTCGGTTAAATGAGTGGTAGATGCTTGTTGAAGAGAGTGGTGGCGGTGGGGCATGGAGCTGGGCTGCGTGGGAGGGACGAAAGTGTTGGTTTCTTTTATACCCGGATAGCTGGGAGAAGTAAATAGACGTTTGCATTGTCTTGTCAGTGAAGGAAGATGGTAGATCCGCCTAAGAATACATACACTGTCTATATTGCAATGGCTTCTCGGGTGATGTAGTCAGTCCGCTCACAAAGTAGCTCAGAGAGACTGGAGCGGAGCAGTTCGAGAAAGTCGAGGTTATGTCCCGTCCCGCCTTGAAGAGTAGACCTCGTGCAGGTAGTCGGTGCATAGTGCCCTCACACCCAACCGGACCTTCATCCACGCACTCAACGCATTCAACATACAGCCAAATGCCCGGACACCAAAAAAATGCCCAACATCTGTGTCCACTCGCCAAACCCAACCAAGCAACCACCTTAACCCAAACCAACAAGACCTGATTAAGTTCGAAGACTACGAAATGCCTCAAACCTACACTCCCGCAAAGTCCACAGATCTCAACACAATGCATACATGCAATAACTACCAATCCAGATTCTCATCCTAAGAACATACACAAGCAAATCTCCCGGCTCGGCCCCTGTGATCCGGATCTGCGTCGCGAGCGACGATGCTACTACATTCATCCGGCGATGCTCAACCCAACCCAACCCAACCCAGCCGCACCGCCCGAAAAAAGGCACGCAACCTTACAAGAACTTACTGGCCAAACTCAACAACCCGGCCGGCCCACCGGTACCACTCGACCCACTGCCCTGACTCTTCATGTACATCTTCAGCGCCATCTCAGCGGCCTGGTTGATGGCGGATTGCTTGTCGCCGGACTGTGCCCCCCACACAAAACACAAATTAGCCTGCGTCTAGCACAACCCCGTCCCCGTCCCCAAAACCAAAAGAAAACCAAAAGGGGTAACGGATACATACAGCCATGCCACTGGAACTCTTCTCCTCCCACAGCTTACTCGCCTGCGCCATGGCCAGCCCGATGAACTCATTCTTCCCGCCGGAGCCACTTGCACCCGAAGAAGAGCCAGAGGTGAACATCTTCAGCGCCTGCATGGCGGCGCCAGCGCCCAGGGTCTTGGAATCATGCTGCTGGCCCTCGTTGGAATTGTACACGGCCTGGTGCGACTGCACCATCTGGGACTCGTCGATGTCGTCGTCCTCCTCCTGGGAGGAATGGCGGTTGGTGATGTAGCCCAGCGCCTTCTGGAAGAGGTCCGAGGAGCCGGTGCCCGCGCTGTGCGATTCGGCGTGGCTGGTCGCCGAGGAGACGTCGTCGTAGCTGGGTCTGCTGCCGCCGCCGTAGGAGGGAGCGTTGCCGTAGCTGGGGTTGTGGGAGGGGGGGTTGTGGCCGTATTCGTTGCTGCCGCCGTAGGAACCGCCCTGGGAGCCGTAGCTTTGTTCGTTGCTGCCGCCGTAGGAACCGCCCTGGGGACCTCCGCCGTAGCCGCCCTCGCTGTATCCGCCCTGCTGGTGCTGCTGGTGCTGGTGCTGGTAGCCGCCCTGCTCGCCGCCGTATCCGCCCTGGGGACCGCCGTAACCACCCTGGGGACCACCACCGTAACCACCCTGGGAGCCATAGCTCTGCTCGCCCCCATACCCACCCTGCTGCTCACCACCATAGGAACCGCCCTGCCCCTGACCGTGATGGGCGTTACCGCTGCTGCTGCTGTTGTTGTTGTTGTTGCTGCCGCTGTTCCCACCAGCGTAGTTGCTGGCGGCCTGCTCGATGGCCGAGGAGATGAAGTTGGAGAAGGACATGGTGAGGATCGAGTCAGTCTTAGACTGTAACTGGCTGTGGCTGTAACTGTGTTGGGATGTGAAGGTAAATGTGAATGTAGATGTCAGCAGATACAGATGAGTAGCAGAAGATAAAAAGAGGAGGAAGAAAAGGAGAAGAAGGAGAAGGACGAAGGGTAGTGGTCGATCAGCTGGTTTATTTACGTACGTAATGAGGGGCAGTCACAGTCAGTCACCACCACTTGTGGCTGAAGCGGTGTAGATCGGCGGGGTCGATCGCTAGCCTGCAGTGTAAGTTACCTAGTAGTAAGTAATAGTAGTTAGTCTCGGATCCACCACTTCCTGCCTCAGCCACGCCACTCGGACAGCCACCACTCGTATTCGGCCCAATGGACTCCCTCCCTACGTACGTATGCCATGCCATCTTGTGCTCGTCTTGTGCTCATCTTGTGCTCGTCTCATGCACCATGATGCAATTCATGCAATTCATGCAAGCTACTAGGTACTATACAAATACAAATATGCTGGTGTGAGTACTCCAGTACTCGAGTCTGTATACACATTCAATGGTATCTCCGCTAAACAATGCAATCACGTAAATCATAAGCCACCACCACCACCACCACTATTCACACTCACAAGATCAACGCCTCATGCTCCTCGTCCGTCAGATTCCACAGCACCCGCTGCTGCCGCTCGCGCTCACTCAGAACACAGCGCTCGTCCTCGTCCAGCTCCCCGTCCCGCACCCATTCATTCGGCAGCCCCTGCGGCCCATACCGTTGCCCCCATTGGCGTCGTTCGTACTGCATGAACCCCCCGAAATGCTCGTCCGTGTTGGCCACCCAGATCGTACTGCCGTCCGGCGAATAGTCCGCCCCGCCAATCTCCCCGAAGAAGTCGTGCACCTGCCGGCTCTGGTACGTCTGCGCGTTGACAATCGTGATCCGGTCCGCCGGCTCACACAGCAGCAACGTCCGCGACCCGCCCCCAACCGGCGAGAATCGCACCGACCGGTATCCCGCCACGTCGGACTCGATCTTCTGCAGCATGCGCCACATCCGCACGTCCCAGATGATCGCCGTCTTGTCCTGGTTGCTCGTCGCGATATGCCGCATGTCCGGCGACCACGCGCACGCAAACCCAAAGTCGCGGTGGCCCCGCAGTGGATGCACCGGGCGCCCACTGTCCGCCTCCACCACCCACGCATCCGGCGAGTCGCCGATCACCGCCCGCAGACGCCCGTCCGGCGCCGTCGCCGTGCAGTTGATGGCGCGCGAGAGCTCGTAGTCCGCGACAAACGTGTTGGTCTCGCAGTCCAGAACCCGGAGATGCCGGTCGTTGGACGCAAACACCCCCAGCGGCGACCCGCTGCTGCGACTCGGAACGATGTCGACGTGATTCGTGATCCCGCTCGGATCTTGGGTAACATACCCCGCCATCCCGGGCCCATCCGTGCCCATGGCTCGTAACGCGTATTCCCCGGCGAAACCGCCCGCAATAGTAATGTCATGCGCCGACCGCATCGTTGAAATCTTCATCGACCCCTGTAGGCCGGACTCCACGGTCGGTTTCGATAGATCGATCATGCACCGCAGATCATCGTACGCGGGAACCCAGGAGTAGACCTTGCATTCGTGCGCAAAGTGCACCGTATTATACGCCGCCGCGGACATCAGGTTCCGCAGCTGGAAGTGTTCGATGCTGGCTTTGTGTTCCGTGTACATGGCCTTTTCGCGAAAATAGGTTTCGTCCCGTGCCAGTCGCGCGCCCGGCCGTTGGCGCGAATACTCCAGGTTATGATAGGACGTATATGACTGATCTCGCAAGTTCCGCGCATAGGATCGTTTCACCTGCAGTGCTTCCTTCCAGGGGATCTGCTGGATATCAAAGAAGTCCCATCGATACCCAGCCGGCCGGACAATTTTGGCCGGCGGCATCCACGAAAGCAGACTAGCGACCGCACTGCGGGACAGAGGGACGGGGCCCATTGTAAATCCAGTGATGGAAGCGGTGTAAGACTGACAGAGCCATTGTCCGATGAATTGGTCGATGGTCAAGTTCCGTTCTTTCACTGTGAGGGCTGTTTAGAATCCATACATAGGACGCAGGACAAGGAGACACTTACCCATCCCGGTGAGCGGGTCCGCGACATGCTGCTCATTCGGCGCTTCGACACCGCTCGAGTCATCACCCTCAGAGAATGAAGCATTGGAGTCGTCGTGAGCAGCGCCGGGAACAATATCTGAAAATTGCGGCGCGTAGCCGGCGTCCAATCCTTGATAGAATCCATCAAAGTCCACTTCCGATAAAGCGGCCGTGCTGCGACGGACCCGCGCCTCAGCATCCTCGAAATCGGATTCCTCATCGCCGTCGTCCATGTAGAATTTGTAGGTGTCATCGGGGTCATCATCCAGCCCAGACAGGGCGGGAAGTCGTTCCGCCGCGATCGAAGGTTCGTAATCCATGATCAGGTCGGTCGTTTCATCGTCATCGGTGATATCGGAGATCGTCGAGGCTATATCATGCGCATACTCTGCGCCGGGGGTATCGTCATAATCGCCCATGTATGGCCCCAGCGGTACGCCACCAACGTCCGAAAGCGCATCGGTCATCTCCGAGTCGGAGACATACCACTCTCCCGGGGGAGAGGACGAGGTGAGGCGGGGAGTCGCTTGGTCGGCTAGATGACCGTGACCGTAGTGGGCGAATTCCGGCGGCTCCATCACAGCGTTGACGATCTCCGTCACCGCGACAGGGGCAGCGTCGCTCGAGGCATTGGGATATTGCGGAACGGCCATAAAGGCCGACAAGCGTGGATCGCTCATGTCGAGACCAGGCTCGGGGGCGGCGACGGCTGTGGACAGTGCTGGATCGGGCACATCTGCGGATGCGCCCGGCGGATGACCCTCACCCGGTGGCGGCGGCGGCGGCGGCATCATTTCCTCACGGGCAACGGGTGGTGACAAGCTAAGATATTGTGACGAGAACCGGGAGACATTGCGTGGTGAAGTGTCAGAGTAGGAACCAGCTGCACGGACGGACGAGCTGGACGAGGCCGAAGGAGGAGGAGGAGGAGGATGAGGAGCAGGAGGAGAGTCGGGCCCAACCTGACCAGGCATTCCGGTCGTCAGATGCAGCGCTGAGCGATTCGGTTGGCGACGGGACTGGCGACCGCTCGCTTTTTTCGGACGACCAACTAGACCAACTGGTGGCGAGCGAACTGGCTGATAAGCAGCCGAAACAGCACAGCAAGTGCTGATTGGCACTGGGCCACTGGGGCGGGTGATACAACCGGACCAGGTCGAAGGATGTCGTCCACGTTGTCTCTTTTTTTGTTTTTTGTTCTTTTTTTTTTATTATTATTTTGCGATCGCAATCACCCCCGGGGAGGGATCTTGGCTCTGCAGCCGGTTTGGGTTGTTCACCCCGCAGCACAACTCCCTCCTCCCCCACACGGAGGGGACGGACACGGTCACGATCACGATCAGTGAGGGCAATGCGAGTCGGAGCCGGAGAGCGAGTAGGCGAACTGAGACAGACGCGCCTGTTTGCCTAGATCTAGCAGAAATGAGTAGATATGCGTTGAGAGCAGTGCTGAGTCAAGTTGACAGGCGCAAGAAACAGCAAACAGGCCCGATCAGGAGGGGCAACGCTGCAGTTTAAATTGTTGACAGGTGATACGCCACTTCAAGCAGACGCGGTGGGTTGAAGGATGGATTGGATGGCGACACACAACCCCGGCTACAGGCGAGCGACCGGGG